TGAAGCTTTCTTCTCTTTCTTGGTGTCTTTCTTTTCGTCTTCAGATTCTGTACCTGACTCCTTGCCTTTCTTTGAAGCTTTCTTCTCTTTCTTGGCATCTTTCTTGGCATCTTTCTTTTCATCTTCAAATTCTGTACCTGACCCCTTGCCCTTCTTTGAAGCTTTCTTCTCTTTCTTGGTATCTTTTTTTTGATCTTCAGATTCTGTACCTGACTCCTTGCCCTTCTTTGAATCTTTTCTTTCTTTTTTGGCATCTGTTTTTGCATCTTTTTCATCTTTAGTTCCTGTTTCTATATCCTTATCTTTCTTTGGCTCTCTCTTAGTTATTTTTGGCTCCTTTAAAACTGTGGGTTCTATTTCTGATTCTGATATGTCCTTCTTGTCTGCTTGCTTGTCTTCTTTACCTTTCTTACCTGTTTCTGGAGATAAACGTTTTTCTACATTTGCTACTTTAGCATCTTCCTTTGGGCGATGGGTTGCTTTATATTGAAGCTGCCTCCTGGCCGCTAAATATTCGGATGGTCTCTCAGAAATTCTCATTAAAGAACTGTGCATCCATAATGGTTGTTTATGACCTTCTTTTATTTTGTCTGAATCATATATCTGGAATATTGGTTAGAATAATAATGAACAATTTGTATGTTACACAGCTTTTATTACCACATACCAAATACATTTTAACTTCAACCATTAAAAGATTTTAGTTTTTGATAAATAGTGGATAAATTGTAGATGTCATAACTTATTCTGCTTTTCCAATTTAATTATTTTTTGGACAAATGGATAGTCATGTCTCATTGTGAGCCTTATTTCAATATAGAGGATCTTCATAATTCCAAGATATTATGTTAAAATTGGTAGAGACCTCACTGACTAATGACGTATCAGAATCTCTCTTCATAATCAGGAGAGGGCTTCCCCCCCCCCCAATGTTCTCAAGAATTCTTAGAATATCTTGCCCACTTTCCATTCCTAAGCTAACACAGAAACTAATTATTCTCTAATATGTAATAGTTTCATGTTCAGGCATATCCTGGTCTCTATTATCACATTCAAAGTCTCTGGAATTTGGAATGCCAACTGTAGTTAAAAGTAGAAACCTGAAACTCTTGCTTAGCAAGATGTAAATTGAGTATTATCAGATAGGAAACTACAATAATAAAAGCTGTAACATTCAGTGCACATAAATTTGTGCAGAATAATGCATTTTGTTTTCAACTCCTAACCAAGTATTTGCAAAATCTTAATTGCAAAAGTAGCAAACTTTGGAAGTGATGTTAACAAACAATGGAAAAATAAATAGAATAAAGAAAGAAAGGAAAGGCAAAGAGTGAGAGATGACAGAATAAGCTAGGATCACTACTGATTGGAAACACTCCCTAAAATAAACAAGAGTTGATGATACTTTTATCTTGTAAAACTTTTTAAAAAACATTTCATATCCCATGATGACTCTAGAAACATTGAGAAATACTTATCGTCTAATTTTTAGAATCCTGAATGCTACATTACAGAAAATGAGGAAGCACTTTATCAAGGTATAATATAATCCCATGATTCTAATGAGGGAGTTTCCCCAGCTGGAGGACATTTTCTGAATGTTCATACTAACTGTAGCATTAGGATCTCCAGATTTTTGTGCTTCTTGGACACATATTTTCTATAGTGTGGGGTTACTAAAGAAATAGTTAATATGAAATAAGGGAACAATATTTATACAGTGAAATGCAAATAAAATGATCTACTTCCTTCATGTAGTAGAATTTGAATTACCTTTAACTGTGCTGTCCAATATGGTATTTAAAAGCCACAAGTGAATTGAACTGAATTGAATAGAGATGTAAAATTCAATTCCTCAGTTGCACTAGCCTCATTTTAAATGTTCAATAGCCACATTGGAATGCAAAGACATAAAATATTTCCATCATCCCAGAAATCCCACTGGTCAGCGCTGATCTGTAACACATATAACTATACATGATTTCACAAGTTTAGCACTAGTAAAATTAGATGATCTTTCCAGTACTCACAGGAATTGCATTGTCTCGCAGTTGGGATGGTTTTGATCTCCTTTTTTTTCCTGGCCTTGGTGGTTTGGGAAATCTCAGGGCAAAGTGTTGCTGATTCCATGATTTTTTGCTTAATTCACTGACTAAAATAAGAAGACATTAAACGTTTTAGAGTAAGTAATATTTCATCAGAACTTAAATGGCAGTAAGATAATAGATTTCATGAATGAACAAATGATACAAATTATGGCTTAATTTATTTAGTTATGTTTGAAATTCTCTGCTATCATTATATGAAAATAAAATAAAAATTTTTTTCTATTTTGATCAGTTTTACAGAAAACTATACAGTCATTGTGAAACTAATATGGTCTGTAATATAAATGCAAAAAAGATCTTTACTACTTTCTTTTAATCTTCTATCTCTCCCAGTCTAGATTTTTGCTTTAGATTCTTTTGGTTAGAATACAATTCTTTTGAGATCAGAAAATATGATAATGACTTCTGTAGCCTCCAAAGTACTTAGCACAGACAGTACTTGTTATAAAATATTCAGTAAATATATGATTGAATCTAAATGCTAATGCTTAAGGTTCATTTAGTCAGTAATAATTTCCCAAGCTACAAGAGTAAATGTTATACACATAAGAACTGCATTGTTGTTATAAGTGGCATATTAATGAAGTAAACTACAAATAAAGAGTACCTACAGAATTGTGACTGTGAGGGAAAGGTTACCTGGAAACTATGAGAAATGTTTAAAGATGTTTGGGGTACCAGTGGGAGTGAGAGAGATTTTCATTTCATTTAAACATGTGCAGTATAATACTTCATGTAAGAGAAAATACACTTTCTTGTGTATCTCCTAAAACAGTCAGGATCAATGAGAAAATATACAGAAAGTCATATTTAAGTTCAATATTTGAGGGAAAATCCTTCGATATATGAAGTCCTTCAACATCAGATTGGTGAATTTTTGGCCATTTATAAGGTGGATATAGTCTATCACAAATGTAGTAGAAGTCATTGCGGACATGGGTGAATTGTTTATCCAGTTTCTACACTACTTTTCAACTGTAAGATTATCTGATTGTATGATTTCTAACATGTATGATTTCTAACATAACACCTTTATGTTGCTGGACATATTTGCTTAAACTTTGTTGGGTTCAAAAACAAAGTATCTTTAGAAAGTGTTTGCCAAGTCCATGAGAAAGTTAATTTTTAATGATATTCCATGAGCTACTGCTTTATCACCTTGAATAGAGGATAATAATCATTTATCCTTAAAAGTAATCATAATCCTAAAATTAATGTTTCAAAAATAAATATTGAATTCTTTCTTACCTGGAATGTAATTATCATATGTTCCAAAGTTTATTTTTTGGCTATTAAAATAAGAGGGAAAGGTTTTAATTAATTTATATAAAATCACTGTATTTAATGATCATTATTATGTGCAAGCACTTGCCATCACCAACTAGAGAAATATTTTGCATTCTCAGTTCTCTACTATTATGTAAAATTACTTCATCCTAGAAAAAATAGAGATGAGTAAATGTGCTTTTAGCACAAACTTCAGCATAACTAAACAAAGTAGATAGAAACATTTTAAAAATTACCCAATTGCCATATCTGAAATAGACTTTTTAAAAAATTGTGAATTCATGGTTGAATTATTTTTCTCTATCTCATGCTCCAAATTCTCTTGCAATTGAATTTTAGCAAAGACATCACTTTAAAAGCACTGCTTAAGCAAAATCAGATCCTCAAAATATTCTCAAACTTAAGCAAGTCCAAATCATTCAATGGCATACTTGTATGTCTGTGAATGAGTGTGTGTGTGTGTCAGTGTGCACTGTAAGTATTGATATGGATTTTAATTTTTTTAAATTTTTTGTTCTTTAAGAACATCTGAGAAAACTGTGTTGTAAAGTATTTTTCATTTAAAAGTTTCCATTTGTTTGAGTACTATGTGAACATGTTTATCTCACAAAGAGGAATTTTATAATCCTATTTCATTTATTTGTAATGGAGACATATATTAAGATCTGATAGAGAAATATTATTTTACAACATCCTATTACATTACAGAAATAAAGCCATTGTTGATCACATGTGAGTTTTGGGCTTATACACACATACAAACACACATGCTCACATCGTATTTTACTTATTTTGACATTACATAATTACTAAGAAAGAAGTACATTGTAGAATCTAAACAAACAAACAAACAAAACCCAAGTGAATAAACAAAAAACAGAACCAGATCCATAAACAGAGAGAAGTGATGGTTACTTGGGGGGTGCAAATTATGTGAAGGGGAGTGAAAGATAGAGGCTTGCAGTTATGGAATGACTAAGGCATGAGAATAAAAGGCACAGCATAGGGAGTATAGGCATTGACACTGTAATAGTGTTGTATGGTGACAAATGGTAGCTACACTTGTGATGAGCATAGCATAATGTATAGAGAAGTCTAATCACTATGTTGTACACCTGAAATTAATGTAACATTGTATGTCAACTATACTTGTTGAAAAAAAATTGAGGAATAAAGTACATTAAAATAAATATCTTGATTATTTAGGCTCTATTTCCCAGCACAAAACTTGGCACATTTTTGTCACTCTATAAAAATTTAAATGATTTTGGGGCACCTGGGTGGCACTGTTGGTTAGGCCTCCTGACTCTTGGTTTCAGCTAAGGTAGTGATCTCAGGGTCATGGGATCCAGCCCTATATTGGGCTCCACGCTCAGTGCAGAGACTGCTTAGGACTCTATGTCCATTTCCCTCTGCCCCTGCCCTCTCTCTCTCTCTCAAACAAATAAATAAATCTTTAAAAAAATAGGAGTGTCTGGATGACTCAGTCATTTGAGCATCTGGCTCTTGATTTCGGCTGGGGTCATGATCTTGGGATCCTGACATCAAGCCCTGCGTTGGGCTCCCGGCTCAACCCTCAAACCCCCGCCCCCAACTCATTTTCTCTTTCTTTCTCTCTCAAATAAATAAATCTTTTAAAAAAATTAAATGATTTTAATTGAATAAAATTTAGGATATGTTGATTAAAAAGTTGTCTAGTCCAGTGGTTTTTTAAAAAGTTTTTATCTAAGGGGCGCCTGGGTGGCTCAGTTGGTTAAGCGTCTGCCTTCGGCTCAGGTCATGGTCCTAGGGTCCTGGGATCGAGCCCTGCATCGGGCTACCTGCTCAGCGGGAAGCCTGCTTCACCCTCTCCCACTCCCCCTGCTTGTGTTCCCTCTCTCCCTCTCTCTCTCTCTGTCAAATAAATAAATAAAATCTTTTAAAAAAAAAAAGTTTTTATTTAAATTCCTGTTAGTTAACATACAGTGTAATATTAGTTTCATGTGTACAATATGATGATTCCACACTTCCATATAACACCCAGTGCTCATTACAAGCCCCATCACCTATTTTAACCCATTCCCCCACCCATCTCACCTCTGGTAACCATCAGTTTGTTCCCTGTAGTTAAGTATCTGTTTCTTGGTTTGCCTCTCTTTTTCTCTCTCATTTTTTTTAACCTTATTTGTTTTTTTTTTCCTTAAATTCCACATATGAGTGAAATCATAATGGTATTTGTCTTTTTCTGAGTAACTCATTTCACTTAGCATAATACTTTCTAGCTCCATCCACATAGTTGTTGTTTTTTAACTGAGAACATTCATTAAGATTACTTGCCTCATCATATCTGAATCTCTAGGTTTGAATCTAGCCAATGTACATTTATACACTCCTGAAGAAATTTTGATGTTCAACCATGGTTATGAACATTTCTGTTTTAAATACTCTGAAAGAGGAAATATTTCAGGTTCATGAAACAATATTATTAAATTTGAGATTTATAAAATTGTACATAAGCATGATCCATTAATTCCTTGCATAATCCCTAGGGCATGTTCTTTAATCACCAAACAGTTGAATTAGAAATCAAAAACAAAATTATATAGAAAATACACAAATATTTTTTAAAATAGTTCTTTCTAAATAACCAGTGGTCAAACAGAAATCACAATTCACACTTATAAAAAAGAAGGAACTAAACAATAACATAGTATTAAAAATTATGGAATACTGCAAAAAGTTCAAGGAGAATTTATAACTTTAATGTCTTATATTAGAAAAAAAATTAAAAGTTTTTTCTTTTTTCTTTTACTTATTTATTTGAGAAAAAGAGAGAGGACGAGCAGGGGGTAGGGGTAGGGAGAGAGGGAGAAGCACACTCCCGGCTGAGCAGGGAGCCCGAGGTGGGGTTTGATTCTAGGACCCCCAGATCGTGACCTGAGCCAAAGGCAGATACTTAACCAACTGAGCCACTAAAACAGTGTTTTAAATCCTTGCTTTAAAATTAGGAAAATATCAAAATAAATTCAAAGTTAGAATAAATAATAAAGCTTTAAGACAGAATCAAAGTTTAAATAAATTAGAGCAAAAAATCCCAAATTTGATTTTTTGTAAAGATTATTAAAATTGATTAACTCCTAGAAGGACTGATAAATAAAGAGAAAACACAAATTACCATTATCAGGACTGATGCAAGTTTTATAATTATATAGATTTTAAAGGATAATGGGGAATATTATTAACAATTTTATGCCAATAAATTCAGCATTTATTTAAGTGAAATAGATGAGCTCCATGTAAAACTAATTTAGCAAAACAGACACATGATTAAATAATAAATATGTGACTAGACTCATAATTATTAAATAAAATGAATCCATTATCAAAAACCTTCCCAGAAAGAAAAGCATAGACCCAGATAGTTTTACTGATAAATTTTTAAAAATTAAGGAAAAATACTAACTCTACACAAATTTTTCAGAAACAAGGAAGAGGAGGATGTTTCAACTCATTTTTGAGACCAATATAAATAACCCTGACACCAAAACTTCTTAAAGACATTACCAGAAATGAGTATCATAGACCAATACCTTGCATTAACACAGACACAAAAATTCCTTAACAACTTGTTAAGTAATCTTACTGAACAATAATATAAAATGGCAAAGACATCATGGTTATTGAGATTTACTTTCTGGAATGTAAGATTAGTTTAACATATGAAAATCAACCCATGTAATCATTCCAAATAACAAGTAAAATTCATCTGATCATTTCAAGATATGCAGAAGAATTTTTGAAAAAATAACATTCATAATTAAAAACTCAGAAAACTAGGGATAAAAGACATCTTCCTCAAATGGATAAAATGTCTTCAGGCAATACTTGCTCCATTTCAAGTGAAACTGAAGGAGATACCATATTGTTGAGAGTCTTTATCCTTTGAATTTATTATATATTTTAAAATGTACCAGAGATATAGTTAAAGGCAAGAGTAAGGGCAGATGTATTCTGTAATAAGATTAAATTTTTTCAGACTAAGAAGAAAAAAACCCCACAAATGCAGTTATATGTTTACTCCTTTAAAGGAAAAAAATCTTTTCCAGTGGTCATATAAAAATAGATTTTTGTCCTAAAAAATAAAGTCCCCCATGTCTCCCTACGTTATGATCTCAACTTTTTATTTAGGAAAACCTAAACCCAGCTCCCTTTCTATGTCATGAATACATGATATTCCACAATGTTAACAATGGGTACTTCTTTACTTAAAGCTCACACATATGTGGAATCTAAAACAAAATGCAGAATCAGACCTATAAATACAGGGCACAAACTGATACTGTCAGAGGGGAGGAGGATTGAGGGGATGGGCAAAATGGGTGAAGGGGAGTGGAACATATAAGCCAGTTAAGGAATAAATAAGTCATGGAATAAAAGGCAGAACATAGGAAATATAGTTGGTGCTATAATACCATTCATTGTATGGTGACAGATGGCAGCTATACTTGTTGGGGGCAAAGCTTAATGTATAAGATTGTCCAGTCATTATGTTGTACACCTGAAACTAGTGTAACATTGTGTGACAACTATGCTCAAATAAAATAAATTTTTAAAAGAATAGAAAGGAATCTTGAGATAAAAAAAAAGGCTCAGAGATATTGAGATTGATATTGAAATGACTGGATGTGTGCACTGCACCTGAAGTGAAGGCAGATTCTGTGGCATCTGTTTTCCATTTCACCTTGGTTAAGATGAAGTATTAGTTATTATGTTTCCTTATATATATATCCAGAGACCTTAATTCAAAAACTAGTTATATCAAGAAAGAACAACCTTTTTGACTTGTTGCAGTTTTTTTTTTTTAGATAATTAGATTAGACAATAGTCTCAAAAGAAAAAATAAAACATATGCTGACAATGTTTTTGTTGTTGTTGTTGTTATTTTTAATGAGAAACTTCAAAAATTGAATCTAAATGTAGCCTGGTCTGGAAAATTTCTTGATTGTCCCAGAGAGGTAAAGGT